GAAATTATGGTGTTCCTCCTGATCCTCAATAATTTAACGTCTATTTAAGATGGGGAGGAGTCCTTGGCTTCTTGTCACTGTATCTGTATTAATTGTAACCAAACAACATTATCTGTTCATTTCATCCCTTATTGGATTTTTCTTCTAGCTGTTTGGATTTGTGTTAATATCTATATTCTGTCTTTCCAAGATCCATCCCTCCCTCTGAGTCATGACTGATTCCATAGTATTCACCCTGAGTGTTTCCTTGTCTGAATTCAGCTTCAGGTTTCATTGTCCCTTGTCTAAATACTCTCTCTCTCTCTCTCTCTCTCTCTCAGCATATTTATTCTGGTAGGGCTGTGATGAAACAAGAGTTTATCTGTGTGGACAGTTTATGTTTTTATTGTGAATAGGAGGCAAATAAATCCTGCCCATTAGCCTTATGATGAGACTCAATCAACAGAAATATCAACTGCATCTTTGATATAATAACAGAACTTCGTCTAGTCTTCTTCATGTACCCTACACCCCAGATGATTTGCTCTTTAAGCAGGGGGTCCTCAAATTTTAATGAGCATTAGAATCAACTGAAGGGCCTTGTGAAAAAGATTGCTTGATTTTACCTCCCCAAATTTTTTATTCAGCAGGTTTAAATGAGATTGCAATGTCTGTATTCTTAACATGTATACAGATGAGGTTGGTGTTGCCAATCAGGGTACCTAGTACCCTGAGTCACTCATTAAAATATGCCTTGCTCTCTGCCACCTCTGTGACTGTATGTCTGAAACATCCCTGAATTCCGTCTCTCAGTTAAAACCAGCATTCCAAGTGACACTACTAAAATGTTACCTTTATGTGTCTATCTAGTACTGAATATTATTGAAATTCTACTAAATTCCAGGTACTGAATTTGGACTATGTCCTTGGGCAAATTAGATTAGGAAGCCATTTATAGTTTTGCCAGCCAGAAAAGACTGCTGTCTTTTTTTCTCATTACCGACTACTGTCCACTATTCCCTTATAACTCTGAGGATCCTCTTCAGACCAGCACCGTTGGAGTGACTTCTAGCTTAATGGTAATTCTGCATCTCAAAAAACCTATCTCTTACTTAGAAATTCAGGATCTGCATTGTATCAAGATATTAATTTATTCATATCTAAATTAGATTTGGAGACATATTATTTTACTATATTGTTACTCCTTTCAGTGAAACTCCAAGTTTAATCAGCTGTAAAATTCTGATGTTTCATAAAGCATCTGACCTATGATAGAAGGAGAAAAAGAATAGGGTAAGGATCATTGCCATTTTGTCAAGGCTTACATAATGCATGTAAAGCTTTAGTACCTTTCCAAACACAAGCTCATTTAAACTTTACAATGAAAGTAACTAAATGATTACTTCTTGTATTGAATCAAATTAACTTCCCTTGACTTTGTTCTGAAATAAAAAAGCAAACTGCAAGTATCTTATCAAAATAGCATAAGCAATAGAAAGTAGGTAAAATGTTTATGCCAGAGACATTGATTTCAAAATTATATTTTGTTCTCTAAAGAAACAATTATTATGAGTAATGACAGTTATCATTTATTGAACAATATACTAAGCTTGGCTAAGTTTCAGAGTTTTATTAGGCTGGTTCATTGAGAAATTGTTACTGTGCACATATTTCTTAAATAGTGAAATTGAAACGGCAGGCCCGAGATCATGTGCCAAAATAAATAACAAAGGCCGGGGATTTAGCTAGGGGTTTGGTGGCCTGCCTTGCCAGCGCAAGGACCCGAGTTCGATCCCCAGTACCAAAAAAAAAAACAAAAACAAAAACAAAAAAAAAACCCCAAAAACAAAATAAATAACAAACTGGCCATGATATGAATGTATTACAGAAAGATTCACTTCCTTGGCAAATAAGTGTTTATGGTTAAAACCTCATGAGAGCCATCTTATTCTTAATATTTCATGAGATAAACTTATCTGATTCTGGTTGTAGATTATTCCAAAAAGTTCTACTAATATTCTTGAGAACAAACTTAATGTAAAGGATGTAAGTCATATTTGTCTTTACAGTCCCTTCTTTCTGTAGGTAGCACTTCTTAACCGTATGGAGAACTTGGTACTTACCACTTCACTACAGAGATATATGGGAAAGTGTGAAGATACTTTTGATTATCCTAGTGGACGTGAAAGTCTACTGGCATTCAGGAAATATGGATGAAGGCTGTAGCTAAACATCCTATAATACCCACCTCCAACATATACAATTATCTGCCCCCAAATATTAGTGGTTCTGAATTAGAAAAACTCAATTCTAACTTAAAACATTACACAAAATAAATATAAAGTCATTATTTGAGGAATGAAAGGCTTTGAGAGCAAAACAAACACTTTGGAAAGAATATAACAAGTTAATATTTAGAGAGTTTAAATGAATCGATCAAGCATACAGATAAATTCTAGAGTAGTAATTTGAACCTTCTTTCTACCTTAATGGCTTACCTTTACCCACAGTATGACATACTACCTCTCCTAACCCACCCTGTTCAAGTAGAATTGTTGTAAAGGAAGTGGGTGCTAGAGTGAGACTGCTTAATCTTGACTCCAATACTTGCCAGCTTTGTGACTTTGGACAAGTAGTCTAAGCCATTTTCCTCTTCCTCCTTGGCCACTTCCATTTTTTCAGCATGATATCATTATGTAATAAACGATAATAAAAATTTGGGTTCTCAGAACATCCCCAAAATTCATAACATAGCTCTTGGGTCATACAAATAGCTAACACTTAATGGCCATTTACTTTGGCCAATTCATGTGGCCAGTGTATCTTTCACATCTTACACCTGGCTCCCCATTCTGAGATATGTCTGGCTTGGTACTCAGCGATTTCACTTCAGAACTGAACCCTACACCATCCAGGGTGTACATCGTCTTAATGATAGGCTGGTATTTGATTTTCTTTTGCCTTCCTTAGTTTGTTTTTTCCTTCACTGTTGTTTTTTCAGTCAGCTTTTCAAACAATAACCTACCTGCCCAAAACACAGTAGCTCAGTTATTCATTCTACAAAATTAAAAACCGGTCACAGAAAAAAACAACATAAAATCTAAAACAACAAAAGGCAAACTAAGAAGCCAATGTTCCAAATTTATTTCACCATAATAGAATTTAGACATTTTGATTTAATCTCCCTGAAGTGTTTTAAATGGCCAACTAAGAACAAAAATTGCTGTGGTATTTCTCATGGCACTGGTACAGGTTTTATGTTAATATTTAAAGTCTGTTTTGCCTTTTAAAAAGAAAGACAATTTTGAGAAAGTCTAGATGTATCAGTAAATAACCCTGTGTTGTGACATAGACAACTGAAAACACACACAAAGAGTTTTCCCATAGGTTTTATTAATGAGAATAATAGAAAAACATTAATTTCTAGGAAAGTAAGAAAAAGCATTGGGACTAATATATTATGCACATTCAACTAGCAAGCGAGCAGTAAAAGTACCTTTCCTCTGCTTTAGTTCCATCTGTTCAGTCCCTTGTCCTCCAGACTGGAGAATATCATTTGTCCATATGCTGAGAGTTTGGAACTAAAGATTCAAGTTTCTTCTTAGGTAAATTGAAATGCAGCAGCATGAAGCCATGAAGGAACACAGATTTAATTTTTGTTTACTGAATTCCAGGAGTCTCTGAGGTCACGGCATCCAGTCTGGCATTCACTCAGAATGCAGTCCAGCCCGATCACCACGGTGTGGCAAGAATTCAGTTGTTATCAAAGAAGACGACTGCATTTCATTTATTTTGGCTGTAACTCCAAAAGGCACAGTCTCAAATGTATGCGCTGAATTTTGCAATCCTCTAAAATCAAACTCCCACAAGTATAATTCTGGAAAAAATCAATTTAAAGAAAATTATTTATAATTCTGAATGGCAATGTACTTTGTGAAACATACAGAAATGTGACAAAATGTCTGATAGACCATTTCAGACAGTTAAATGGGTGGTAGTAGCACAGAGCCATGGTGCCCGCAAAGCTGATGCTGTAACCCTCATTCTTAGATGGAAAACTTGAGGACCTTGAGGATGATAGTCTACGCTTCCAGTCCCAAATGCCTCTGAGTCTGGGGAACTGATATTCAAGGCAACAGAAAAGAAGCTTTCTTTCTGCCCCTAGAGAAACAGATCAAGCCATCAGCTCCAAGCCATGATGGATTGGATAGTGGCTGGATCTTCCCTACCTGTGCTATTGAGTCTCCCACACTAACCTCTCTGAAATGCTTTGCAAACACCGCTAGCACAATGCTTCAACAGCTTTTTAGGAGTGTGTTTTTCCTAACATAATGCAACCAACCTTCACACAGTCAAACTAATTATCCCCCAAGAATTCAGCTTTCTACAATTGTTATGTTGCTTTTTATTTTAGATTTTGGTCTTGGAGATTTTGGCTTTGGGCTTTTCAACGTTAGGGATTTTAAATTTTTCATACTGTGATTTTCATGATTTTAGATTTTACAAATTAAGTATTTTGATTTGGGGGGAATCCAACATTTAGGATTACAGCATTCCAGATTATGCATTTTGGGATTATGTTCAGCACCAATTGCATCTCACATTTAGCCTGTTAAGATGGAGAGAGAGAGAGAGAGAGAGAGAGAGAGAGAGAGTTCTATCCTAGATACCTGACAATGATAGGGGAAAAAAATACTAATGAACAATCAAAGACAGACTTGCTTAAAAACTAATATTAGGCTAGAAGCATGATTTAAAATATTTTGGATAAGAAATTTCTTATATCAAAAACATGTTTTGGTGTTATAATTATAATCAGATAGAGAATTTGGTTTGACTGTAAGAGGTTTGAATTATAAACACAAAAGAAAATCTATCAAAGGCAAAACACACTTGGCTTTATTTTATCATTAGTAAATAGTTGAAAATCGCCTCTGTTTAAGTTTAAACTTTTAAAGATACATAACTTTCATATATTGAAAAGAGAAAACTGATCCAGTTAGAAAGCTACCGAGTAAATTTCAGAATTACTAGAATTTATCGTGCTCATTTGGCCAATTTCATTTCGCAGGTGAGAAAATTTTTGAGTCTAACAGCAGAAGGATTTTCTCGATCTCACTGACAGCATGATGAAAGCTGGATTCCAGGCCTTCAGAGTCCCACTTCAGTGTTCTTCCCGCTACAGATCCAAATAGATCAGTCTGACCCATGGCACTATGTAGATACTTTCCCTCATGTCTTTGCGCGTTATTTCTTCTGCACCACCGCCTCTCCTGCTCTTCATCTCGTCTTCACTGCTGTGCATTCTGCCTCCCACGACTGTGAGACTCCTGCTTAAAGCTCCGGCGGCGGGCTGCTTACGGGAAATTGCTGGACGGAGTGTTTCACAGATGCCTTGAGGATATATTTGGCTATTGATGCTCTGAGAAGCCCGAGATGTATCCTTTGAAATGGACAGATGATGACAACAGCTTTTATGGAAGTGGTGTTTTCTTCCCTGAGGGCTTAGCTTCAGGAGGTATGTGAACTACGAAAGGATTACTTCATTTTGCTTGTTTATTTATTTAATTATTTAGTCTTTTTACAATCTGTGGTCGTCACCTCCTCCCATGAAACACTGACCCACAAATTCAATTAGAGGGCTTTCCTGGAAGTTTGGTCTTTCTTGAGGTTCACCTGCAGGGTAAGAAAGAATATTTGTTGGCCAGAAATCAAAGACAGTGCAAACATCCTCTGCTCAAATTACTTTGAGCCCATATTTCTATTAAATTTCCAGTAAAGTATGCTCAATAAATCATAGCATTTGAAATTAATTGTTTCAATGAGGCATTTAATTTTGCACAATCCATTGCTCTGGGTGTATATTAGCTAAATATTTATGAGTTGATTATTTCCAAAGCAGTCAGATTTGTTAAGGATGGAAGATAACTATCTTCCCGTATGATTTGCCCAAGATTTTTTTTTATTCTGATTACTGAAATGTCAGAGTTGTAAAGAATGTTTGTACATTTTATAAAAATGAAGTATAATGAGTTAGAATTTCAATTATGATCTATCCTGGTTCATAAAGTGTGGCAGAAGTGCAGTAGTTTAAAGCTGTCTTGTACACCTCTATCCATCAAATTCCACAGATCCTAACAGTTAAGTGTTCAACTGTGAGAAAATTATGCATTGTAGGTACACAAGTGAATTGCCCTCAACCCAAAATCTCTCATCAAGCAAAGCTATTTAAAAAGTAAAAGGATGGAAAAAGTGGTGTTCATATATGTATTTCCTAGTCAGTGATTATTGGTGGATATAAGCATATAATGAAAAACTCAAAGCCATATTAGAAAGTAACTGATACATTGGGTATAATATCATGCTGGTAGTTCTTTTGTGAGATGACGGAGGTTGTAACTTTTCTTCTCTTCCCTTTTCCTTTGTGTCTCAGCAAACTTTTCAAAGGCTATCAAAGTCCTTCCTATCTGCTCAACATTAACTGCATTTTGAAAAATATTTATTTTTATTTTTTATTGTTTTTCTGTTTTATTTTTTCAACTTCAACAGTACGTTTTTATTCAGTCTTACACAGAAAATAGTGTAAGAAGTGTTTGTCTTTGCAACAAGTGAATGATCTTTGTTCAAGTACTGTGTTCAAAACTTCAGTTCTCCGCCCTTTCAGCATGAGTATGTTACTGATTTGAAATAGTGTTTGATTCACGTGTATTACCCTTTAAGGCCTACATCATTTATTGTTCTCTCCTGCTCACCTTCCCCACACACATACTGTCCCCTCTTCTCTCCTTATCTTTCTTTTCACATTCCTACTTTTTTCTTTGCATTCATTTTTCTTTTCTGTTTCTCTCTTTCTTTTTCCCATTAAGTTTATCGGCACATTCAAAGCGTGTGAAAATGGCAGAAGCGGAAGTGGGAAGGAAATAAGGGAACAGAAAAAAATGTGCAAAAATGAAAAAAAATGGAAACAAAATTTTTGGGAAGGGGGTGAAGGGAGGGCAGGGGTGTGGGGAAGAAAGAAGAACCGAGATAGATCATGTAAAGGTACAAGATCCCAATGAGAAATGGAACTGTATTGTTTTTATTTAATGTCCCAATATGTTTTATTGTTTATTGGTACATTTTAGGTTTACATAATGATCACATGCATCACTGAGAATTTGTATCTGCACATTCTATGTCATGGTTCTTGTTTTTTTTACCCTTCCCCTTTCCTCCTCTCAAGCCCTCTACAAAATCTTTGTTTCTATTTTTCCTAATTTTATCATTTTTTCTTCCCCTTATTCCCTTTCCCCTGCTCTCCTCCTAGTTCCCTTTCCCTTGAAACATGGTCTTCCTATTTCACAATATCTATTGTACATTTTCATACTTATTTACACTTTCAGTGTCTCACACCAGAGAACTATTCAGTCTTTACACACATGTGTTTTATTTATCTTACTTAATAGTATGCCTTCATTGTGCATCTGTTAACTCTAAATGTGTCTAGTTTATCATTCTTTATGACTGAGTAGTACTCTATTAAAAAATCTTCTTTCTCCAATCACCAGTTGATGGGCATTTGGGCTTTTTGCAAGATTTATCTATTACAAACTGTGCCGCTATGAAAATGAGTGTGCATATATTGCTGTGGTATGATGCTTTTAATTGTTTTGAGAAGACACCGTGGAGGGGAATAGCTGGCTCAAATAGAACATCCAGTTTTAGTTTTGTGAGGCTTCTCCATAATGATTTCTACAGTAGTTACACCAGTCTATGCTCCCACCAACAGTGGAGAAGGTTACTTTCTCCCCAGAGTCCCACCAACATTTGTTATGAGAAGGCTTGTTCATAGCAGCCATTCTTCCTGGGGCTAGGGAGAATCTCAGAGTTGTCTGCATTTGAATCTCTCAAATGACCAGTGAGTGAATGCTTATTTGCTGTTTCTATTTCTTTATCTGAGAAAAGTCTGTTCATTTCCAATCACCATTTTTTGGATTGGTCTTTAAATTTGGGAGTCTGATATTTTTGAATTCTTTATATATTCTAGATAGAAGTCTGACAAATATTTATTTAATACCTGTACTTGAATCTGTTTTTGGAAATAATAAAAAAGACTAATATTTTAGAAAGTAGGATAAATTATGGGAAAAAAAGCATGAAAAAAAGCCAGTGGGTTAGAACCGATAACACAATCAGCAGAACGATTTAGACTATCAATTCCTGGAAAATGTAAAATAAGTCACCCAGAAAAGCAAAACTGAAAGGATTACAATATTTAAGCTTCAGAATATAAGACATAATAAGATATAGAAAGATTTCCAACTTCTTTTTGGACACTCTGAGATATACAATTATTATTTTATTTAAAATATTTTAAATAATTTTAAGTGGAAAGATATGAATTGAGTTTTCACCTGTAAACTTGATATGAATTTTACGATCAGTTAACTTTTGAACCATGCACTTATTGCATGGAGCAAATCCCTAGTAATAAAGGTTCCTGGTACCACCACTATGGAAATTTATCCTGTAGTTCTTTTTCAAATATACAATATACCATAGATTATTACCTGATGCCTAATCTACCTCCTAAAATAATTCCTCATCTTCCTCTCTTCATCCAACAGACACTGCTGTACAAGTTTGGGTCTTTATTATTTTCTTCTCTCAATATTTTTGAAGTTTTACAGGATTTTCCTAACTGAGTCCTTTGCTACTAAATTCACTATGACGCCTGCCTCTGGCTACAAAACGGATTAGAGCGGCCTTTCTGAAATGTGAAGGCGATGTGAGCGCAACCTTTGGCTGACTCCTTCCTGATTAACAAAGTCATCAGAAAAGTTTCACAAGACACAAAAGGTGCTCTGAACCCTGATATCCAGCCCACTTCTGTGTCATCCCACGGAGTTAGTCAGCCCACTCCCTACTGGAAATGGTAGATAGAATCGCAGACGTTTCTTAGCCCTCCTTTGCGTGCATCCTTCCATGACCTGGCCTAGGGTTGCTCTTCTACCCCGAATTCCCTCCCGTTCTTGCTTGCCCCATGAATTCCTTCTCATCCTGTATCTTCATCTCATGCATAATAATTTCCTACTGTTTTAACACACCCATTCTAGTCTCTCTTTGCCTCTGTTTTTAATCATCTTTGTTATTATATCTACACAGATCTCTATCATTTACAACTGTGCAGCCACATTCGGGCCACTTAATTACTCTCAAATTGTTTCTGGATCCAAAGGAGCCACAATGTATAATTTAATCAACTGAACTTTTTAAAAAGACCATAGATCATGCAGTAAAACACCAAATAAGATGTCTGAAGCATGACGTGATCATTTATTAGGCACTGTAAAATTTTGGTGAATGCAAGATTAAATGGTTATTATTAAATACTTATATGGCTGGGGATTTGGCTCAGTGGTTCCACCCCCTGCCTTGCAAATGCGAGGGCCCAAGTTTGATCCCCGGCACCAAAAAATAAAAAATAAAATAAATAAATAAATAAATTCTTATATGTCTTCTATGAAGCTCATTTTATCTCTAAAGTAATGTATGTTTAATTGTTCATTTTTCTTATAGAATTATAAAATTTAGTTGAACATTTTAAATTTAATTTTTAGCATTCTGCTTATATTTCACATATTAGAAAAGAAGCATAGCCATTTTCTTGGTATTAATAGTTAAGCTCAAGTTAATTGGGACTTAATCCATATTAACAATTTTATGTTATTCTGGTTTTTAAAGGAAAAAAAGATTTGTCCCTTATAATAAGCCTTATTTTCTCATGATTCTGGAATCTGTGGTTATTAGAACTAGGCTATGTATCTAACTGTGTACAAAAATTTCATTCAATAACTTATTCTTCTATCCATCCACGCCTTCATATATTCATAAAAAGGCATTCCGTTTTTGTTCAGGACACTCATTGTGATTACCAGATGTATCACAAAAATATAATCATTAGTCACAGAATGTGTGGAATGCCCACTCTGACAAAGGGAGGATGGATCAGAGTTTCTTACTACCTATACTGGTTACTCAGAAATGAACATTTTCTCTTTGCAGTTGAGTTGTCGTCTTTACCTACTATAAATTTGAAAAAACAAACAAATTTACCTTCTTGACAGAAACAAAGCAAAATACCTTATATGTAGCATGTGTTCATTGATTCATTCATTAAAAAATAATGTAATAGCAATTATGGCTCAGGTGTCCCACTAAGCATTGAGGAGTCAAAGTTCAGCACAAAAGTTCACAGAGAAAATCCACAGGGAGCGTGGGAAGAGAAGCATTCTGTCACACAATTGTTGAATTGAGTCAAGTGTTATGTGTGTGTGTGCTTCTGTGTGCATATAATATGTGCTTCTTGTTGAAGTGAGGGGGTTCGTCTGTTGAGGGGAGATGTTTAGTCTGGGCCATGAGGTACAGCTCTTAAATGTGTGAGAGTTTCCTAGACAAGAAATGAATTATAAAAAGAGATTGTATATGAATTGTCATGGAGTTTATAAAGGTGGGTGATAACTATGCAGAAAACATTACCTTAAAAATAATTACAATCTTTTGTAAAACACTGTTTGAAGTCTCACCAAAATCATTACTCCTGGACTAACATGGCACAAGAAAGAAACATGAGCTTGGTTCCAGACACACCCACCTTTTATGATGGTAAAATTTATGAAAACTTGAGAAAATTTTAT